GTTCATTGATTTGGATATATCGCACGGGGTAGGTCGGTCTTCTATACGGACCCATACGACCTCTCACAGGGTCCACATCTAGATTCAGTCCATAAACGCCCAGAGACGCCCTAGGAGGGCTTAGGGGATACGCCTCGTTAGAAAGAGCATTTGGCGCTGTTCAGCTTGGAAGGGGCATTCTGCACTTTCGTTAGTTCCTTTTCCTAGTTCATGTTGAGTATAGGTCCCATTTTCCAAGATCTGGAAACCCTTGTAGAGCTATAATTTATTTTGAGTGGGTGCACTTTAGTTACGAGGATTTACAAGTCTTCGCAAGGTAGCCTGTGCAGACTTCGTGATATACCCATTTGTTGCCCCCACCACGCCGAACTCGCCAAAATTCTCACCTCTACTCTCATATTGTTTCCTGTACTAAGCAAATCAACGTGAGATTTCCTGTTTCAGAGCCAGCAACTGTCAGTTCTCAGCCTGAACGAGCATATGGAAACTAAGGTGGGAGCATCTTATGGCCTATTCGGACATTATTTATTTGACTGAATATTTAGGTGAAAATGCGTGAATTTCTACGGGCGCGACAGCTAGCAACAATTAACCAGACCTATGTTCTTGTGGAAACGATCGCTCTCAAAGAACGTTTGGTTTTCTTCAAACAGGATATCGACCTCCTGCTCAAGGTGAGTTGGGCAACGACAGGGTACACTCACCTCCGAGGATCCTGGTCCTTGCCATGTGCGAAATGAGTGGGAGTGGGCTGGAGGGTGGTGGTGCCCAGGTGCTGTCCCCTGACTGCGGCCAAGCTATCCCAATGTGCAGCACTTGCGTCGATACGTCGCAATCGGTCGGGGCGGCTTCAGCAGGGGTGGAACGAACCCGCCACGCTTCCCGTTTCTACCAATAATGATCGGTTAGTGATCGAGTCAGGAAGAAAACAACCAGTGGAGGGGGGCTCCGATGGTGGGCCCCCTTCCACGCCTCCTAACACGGCCCCGGCTGACTGCGACTATATCAACAAACACAGTTCCTAACCAAAAGGGAGACCAATGGAATTGAGTGATTTTCAGATAAAACAATCCAGCCATGAAAACGTGAACCCATTCATTGGAGTCTCTTACGACAGCACTCGTCTATACGTTCTATGGACACACTGCTTCCGGTACTGTCTGTTTACATTTGACATTATTAAGCAAAGTGCTACTTAGTTCAGAATGGCCTCTGAATTTTATGCTCCAACCTATAGTACTGGCACAGCTCGGAGACGAGGAAAGGGGGGAGGGGAAGGGAAGAAAGATTTCGCACTTTCGCTGCTTCCCTTGCGAGCTCCACAGTTTTGAATTACCAGCCTCGCAACTCCTCGCTTAAATATCTAGTCAATCCTCTTGGACAGCTATATGAACACGACAATTAGGGGAAAGCAGCGACATAAAGTATTACATCCCGCCGTCGCACGCAACTGCGCCTAATTATTTTATCGTTTTTCAAAAGAAATAAATAACGTCGAGTAATTGGTATGAACTCACTATGGGCTTAATACCATTTCCGACAATGCTGCAACGAAAGATAGCATAAACAGCAATGAAGAATCGTGATATCTTTTATAACCAAGAATGCCTGATTTTCGTGGACAATGAGCTCAGCTGCCCCCAGGGCGGGAAGTTGCGAACCGCACCTCCCCTTTCCGGAGACGAGCTGCCGCTAATCCATTACGCGTATAATGCTTGTAATAAACTATTCGTAGAACGCGTACCTGCCGGCCATTAACAGCAGTTATCACAAACTCCGTGATATCGTAATCCTTTTCTACTCTCGAAAAAATGTTTCTAAAGGCAGTTGCACGATGCGTTTTCCTACTCGAGCCTAAAATGATAGGTAGGCGGTATAGTCCGGGGAAATGTCGCCGAAAGAATGGACCACATAAGTTGAAACGCGTCAAAAATCGCTGCGAAGAAAAGCATTCCAAAGTACCTCAGTGCATTTTGAAATAACGAATTTCTGACGCAAAGTTTCCGTGAGGCATCTTACCAGATTCACCGCCCTAACTAGAAGATACGGCTGCATCATGTGTGCCCAGTTTATGAGGCAGCCATCAGCCGGCCGCTTACATTACCAATACACTGTCGCTTCAAAGTTGTTTGGCAATATGAATCAAATACGAGCGTCCCGGGAACGGTTCGTCCAGTTTGTGGGCGGCCGGGCGTGGCGGACGTAAAAGCTGCTGGCCTTTGATAGGCGCCCTATAAGCGGCACTCTGGGGGGAAACCGTAGTGCAGCGCCTTCCAGGGTCGCGGAATTCCTATTATACCAGGAGTATTGATTCTAATCGCCTTGGGGGGGGGGATTTATCGTGCCAACTGCCTTTAAATACCATCAATTGAAAAACGTAAGCATCAGAGAAATAATTTGCTGCTTATTATTTCGCCGTTTCTGGTAATTGCGTAATGACGAGTGCTTTTACTATGGCGACCGAAAGGAATTAAGGTTGAAAACAGGTCGCTTGGTCAGTATCTTTCGAAAATGCGCACGCCATCCTACCTCCATCCAGTAATCGTAGCGTATACTGATGCCAGTGGTGACCTACAACAATGAATTCCCAGGGCCGACCAACCAATTGTTTCAAGCAGTGTTCTCACTCTCCCAGGTGATACAATTCTAAGTTACCGCCGAGTGTAGATGGCATTCGTTGCCTGAAGCGCGAGACCGATCCCGCGACTTGATACTGACATTGGGTAAGCGGGCACTAGCCACTTACACCATTCGGCCTATTTGTTACCTTCATTAGTTAATTTAAGGATCTAAAAATACCCAGTAGGATTACCGATTACGTAAAGTAACTGATAGCTCTCTTTCAGAGGATCATTAGCCGAACAGATTTTTGGACGAAAAGATGAACGGGCAACGTTCGATAATAACTTTCGCGGAGCATTCGTCAGAGACATTTTGAAAGTGAGCCATTCCACCTTACATCGCTTCCTTACTTTTTCTCTAATCGCTATCGCCTTAATTCTTCCTGTTTAGTTCCATCTTTTTACTTTTGTTTTTTTCAATATTAGGATTTTTGCTTCTCTCTTTGTTTTTTCATGATCTATAGGGATGAACCCTTCGCAGAGATGTTCTTGAACTTTTTTTTTCACCTTAGGACTGGATTACATCCATAATTCCGCCATCGGTTACCATGGCTCACTCACAGCTGGTCACTGTTTGATCGATTCACATTGGATCCTGAAGGTATAGTTTTCTGGTATGTAGGAACTCGCTGTTCATTGAAAATTGTGACCCGTGATCCAGCGGGCCAATTTATCTGGGAGCGATTGGCGGTGTGTTCATGCATTTTTCTGCTCCCTGTTGTGCTTTCATGTTCTGTGTGGCATTATATGATTCGTTACTAAACTTATTAGAACCTTTTTGGACCACTCCCGGTACGGTTGTCTATAAAAAAGGGAAAAACAAACAAATAATGGGAAAATAAAACCAGGGTATCGGTTTGTAAAAAATGACGAAATGAATGCGAACATACTGCGCACGACAGGCCGGTCGGCAAAGTGTTTAGATATGTTTGTAGGGTTCAGAAACTGGAAAATGAATCGAAAAGCTGATTGCAGTTCCTGTAGGTTCAGAAACTGGAAAATGAATCGGAAAGCTGATTGCAATCCCTTCAGGTTTCCGGATTCGGTGTTTCACGAATGCTTTTTCGTATGAAGAATTCTGGTGTCATAGGAACAGAAGATGGCCGACCGTTCATCCCTAATGCAGGTTAGCGTCCTAAACAGTGTCGTTTTATGGTATAATTTTGACTCGATGATGATCATGTGGGCGGACCTGGGGTTGCCATTGCGCCACCGACCTTGAAGGAGGAGAGCGCTCCCAGAGAAGAGGCACTGGTGGGCCTTGTTTCACCTACACAGAAAGTGAAGAATGTACTAATCCCCATATCTCGAGAATGGAGAGGGCGTGGCTGCGGAATTCAGATTCGCATGGCGCCGGCTTCTCTTTTGATCAGATATGGCTGTTTTGAGAGAAATGCAGCCATGTCTTTGTCACGATCAAGACAGAATGACAGTTGTCTAAAATAGAAATATCTCACGAGAAACGCATTCTACGTCATGTTAATATGTACGCGCGCATCACGATCACAACGATACACGCAGCCACGCCCCTCCATCTCAAGGATATGAAGTGTAGAATTCGAGCACCGCTAGTGGAGTCGAAGAGAATGTATTGGTAAGAAGGCTGCTATCACTTCTCAGGTTGAGGTATCAAAATCTCCCCCAGCCACTCAACTCTCACGTCCCTCTGAGATCACTTTCATAAAGCTACACATTTCACATTTCTTGGCTTGAAAGAAAATGCTCAGTTTACATGGGCAGCGCCCTGAAATGCGTTTTTTCTTCAATATTTTTCACCGCTTTGAATGGAAATCTAATGTGTAGCACATCTCCACTGCTCCATAGCGCCGTCCCGCGCTAGGGCACGTCGCACATTGGGGATCCCTAGAGGGAGGGGAGAGGGTCGTAGTTGGTTATCGGAGAGAGGGGTAGGGTCGTATTCGAGAAAAAATGTTTTTGGTTGTTGACTTTTCTTGGTTTTTCCCGTTTCACGTGCGCTATGCACCCAACCCCCCCCCCACTGATGACAGTTTTCCAGAGAAAACTGGAGGAATTTTCGGAATAAAAACTTTGGGGAAAAGAGGAGAAATCAGGGATCAGGTAGAATGGGACATGGAGAACTGGGGGAAGGGGAGTCGTATTCGTGCAAAAATTTTCCCCTAACGGCAGCACGTGCCCTTTTACACTCTGATCATATGTGTGTTGTTAGGACTACAATCGCACGTTTCTCACTGATGAAATCCACGTCTCCATATTCTTAGAAGGGCTAACCAGTGACAGGGGGTGCGAGTAACCCCGCCCACGCAGTACAATCATCGTGGCATGAATTTCCGATTATTCAGTGCATATCTTAAAAAAATCAAAGAGCGTCCCTGACTGATGGAATGCTTGCGACTGACTTTGTGGGTCGTCGGAGCCGCCCAAATTTCTCCCCTCCAAATTTCACTCATTTCTCTTCCTTCAGCCCCTCCTGAGGCGATGGGCCTGAAGCTCAGTGGCTAACAGTCCGTACAGTTAATATCCCTTTGTTTGTTTTATGCGGTATAATCCCGATTAGTTTCAGATCTCCACTACTTTGCTCCTGAAATTCGATCAGAACTGCGATCGCTGATGTTTTCGAACAAATTCGAAGGGCTCCATTTAACTAATGCTACTGGAAAGGTGGTCCCTTGCCTTTTTAGCATTTAATTCTTTTTGAATTCCCTTACAATTAAACCAAAAAAAAAACAAGCACAGGCTGCGGACATGTGGTCTTTCGGTACGATCCTGTTTGAGATTCTGTTTCGCAAAAAATATGTCGACGTGGATGACTACTATGATGGTGAGATCTCAGTGAATCGCAAACAAACAAACAAATATATAAATGATAGATAAATAATTGCAGGTGAAGACGACGTTATTATATGCGAGAAAGCCGATGATGTTCTGCAAGCCAATCCACCACATGTGCCAGAAGATCGTGAGATTCACGCCGATCTTCGTGGACTCATACAGAAGTGTTGGGATAACGTGGTAAGACGAATTGAGGGCTAGATATTGGGATGTGGGAGATTAGTGCACGTGCTCTCGTTGGGGAAAATGCTCTGATATGACCCCACCCCCTTCACCACCCTACCTACCACCTCCCCACTGGCACTTTTCCCGCAAAAAAACCGCCGTCAAACGGGGAGTGCATGCACTTGACAGGAAATTCCAAGAAACGTCATTAAAGGGAAACATTTTCCTCAAAGGCAAGTAATTACCCCTCCCCCTCCCGCGAGCGACCAAATACCACCCCCTCGCTGGGGATCCCCAACGTACGACTCCACTGGGAGGGATTGCTCAGCTTTGCTATTGCTTCCCTTCGGGCCTACCGTGATCAATTGGATACCCAGCCAGAAATGATTACCTTCGGAACCTTTTGTGGCCCATCTGCCCCCCCTCCTCTACTCAAGATAGTCACTCTCCAGCAAGACAGCCACCTCATGCTGTCTAGGTGAGAGGGTGCAGACGAACAGGCATGACATGGCTGAGGCCCGCTGGAAGCGGAACCTTCGGAGGCACATAGCACCCTTTTTCCAAGAGTGACACATTTTTTTTCAGTAACAGGCAGAACTGAATAGCTTTTCAGGACGGCCGACCGGATGTAAACCGTGCCAGAAAAATTACGGATGCAACATTGAAAATGTAAGTTGTCAGCATAATCTTGGGCTTTTATGCTTAGCTGACTCCTCGCCCCCCTAGATAGCCCACGTGACCATGTACAGTCTTGTTTGTTGCGGACGCTGGGGAGCAACAGGCTGGTTTTGGCGCGGCATCAGCCCGTTTTCCACCAATTGTCGCCCGCCAGCTTCCATAGTTGGTGGAGAATGGAATGCCGCCACGTCCACCCCACCCCCTCTACACCGAGAGGCCTCAATGTCCGCAGAGAACAAAACTGTAAACACCGTATACAGGCTATAGATTAGGATAAAACGTTTGTTCAAAATTTGAGCCGTAGTAGTTTTCCAGGTCTGGATCACTTGTCGACCAAATGATAAAAAACATGGAAGAATACACTAACGGACTTGAAGAGCTCGTTAAACGAAGAACTGGACTGTTGGAACAAGCGCAGCAAAAGGCAGACGAATTACTCTCGGAACTGCTCCCCAAGTAATCGCATTGTACTAATCTCACCATTTGCGAAAATTGGAGCAGTCCGGCTTGGGGAGGGCATTTTGCTGGTTCCCATCGATCACTCTGATGCCTTCTCTGGAGATCTGTGAATTCCTGTAAAGCTATGCAACAATATGTACTCAGACACTTGAAAAAAGTCTAAAAGTCTTGAAAAAAGGAGACGTGTAAGTTAGCAGGAACTAGCAAAAAGAACAAGCGAAGGTGCGAGACGGCCCCTCCAGCCAGAAATTTTCTTTTCTCGGGGACCTCGGGTGGGTTGAGGTTTGAGATCACTGAAAGCAAGTTGAGACTTAATCTGAAATCTCTGCAAAATGAATGTTTGAGATAGTCGCAAAGGCAGTGTACACAGCAAAATGCATTCAAAGGCAAGGAATATGCCTACAAAAACCTCCATTTTGACTCGCTTTTCATCATATAGTTGTAGAAGAAAAGGCGCTGTTGCTTGGGAAGGGCATTTTGCACTTTTGCTAGCTCCTTTTGATAGTTCATGTCAACAAAGAGGGTAAATTCTTGCGAAACTGCAAAACAAGGGAGCCACTTTGGCTACGAAAATTCTTAGGATTTCATGAGAAGGCCCACAGAAGCTTCGCTGAGTTCCATTTGGTGCCCCCACCAAGCTGAACTGCGCCGAAGAAAGTCGAACATCAGCGGCAAACTTCATCATCCAGCAATCGTTCCTTTTCATGGGGGTCTTTTACAGATCAGTAGCTGAAGAGCTAAAGGTTGGCAGGAGAGTGAATGCTAAAAACTACAAGTCGGCGACAATACTTTACTCGGATATCGTCGGTTTTACG